CTAGTAGGGCTAACAGATGATGATAAAGAAACTGATTATTCACTCTGGAAGGCAAGTAAAAAGATGAAAAATTCGTGTAAACACTGTCCTCCTATCAGAATAGCAGACAACAAATGGGCAAGAGACAATCAACAAAAAGCTGATATTTTCGCTACAAAAGACGTTCCAATTAGATGAAAATCAAGACACTCCTAATGAGACCATCCATAATATGGAACAAATTAAAATTAAGCTAGTTACTCCCAATGAAGTTACGAAAGAAATTCAGACAAACATCAACTCATAGAAAGCTTCAGGATATGACCTTATTACTGGACAAATATTAAAGAAACTACCACGGAAGGCTATTGTTAAATTGACATACCTCATAAATGCAGCATTTCGCCTTAAATATACCTGATGCGTGGAAAATGGCTGAAGTTATCCTAATTTCTAAGCCACCTCTGAATGAAGTGTCATCATATAGACCTATATCATTGTGACCGATAATATCTAAGTTATTTGAAAAACTACTACTAAAATGACTAAAACCAATAATTGTAAATAAAAATCTGATCCCTTCGCACCAATTTGGTTTTAGAAATAAACACTCCACAATAGATCAAATACACAGGATAGCCGATATCATCGAAAAAGCTTACGAAGATTTGGTACGCTGCACAGTGTGGTATTTAGACCCAAAACCTGGCCAAAAATATGTTATACCTCTAACTACTACATAACTACGTTTTATTGGGATTGTATACGATAAATTGGTAAAATAAAGACTTATTTCGATATCAAAGTATTTATTTGTCACTACTACTATTACTATCTTCACTAATATTCACATTTGTTATATCACTTTCTATTAGTAACTAAAACATCAGACGATAATGATTTTTTTTCTTATTTGAGATGCATCTCATACCAGTTAGTAGGGGGTCGAAAGTTAATAGAAGCCTATTCAGGACATCCCTATTATAAGATACCCGTGAAAACTTTCTTGTGTAGTTCAATCTATACAACTTTATATGTTTGTTGCGAGCTTCAGCAGCTTCTTCTGATAGTTGGCCTATCGGAAGAATAGCTTCTTGTATGACATCTGCTCCATGACGAAGAACCTTATGCAGTGTAGGGGACATGGGGTAAAAACTATATAGAGCCACGTATGGTTCAGCCGTTCCTTGGCAATATTTTTCAAATTTAGCTACATTTATTTTATATCCGCAACACAATGCATCCAAAATCACTTTGAGCCGATATATTAAATTTTTATCAACTCCTGTTATTGTCGCCGATATTTCGTAAATCTCAAAAAATCTTCTGCTGGTATTCCCATCATTGGTGTTCCCAAAATTTGCTTTAGGGATATAGACTAAAAGCTCGAGTTGTTGTCTGAATTCATTCTGAATTTCTTTTTTTTTACTATCTACCAATTGTTTCTTCTCAGAGGAGAGGCGGACATTCCATTTTTTTACAGGCAGTCTATATGCTACATGTAATATATTCTCGAAAAAACGTATGCGAGCATGTATAAGGGAAAGACCAAAATTTAAATTTTCTTCCTTGCATGCTCTAATTTTTGTTAAGTCATTAAACTCTAATGAAGAAGCATCACATGTAGCACCTTATCGTGGATTTGGTATGTGTTGCGGCATTGTACACCTTTCCGTCCACCATGGTGAATAACATTTTATGTTTTATGGAAATGACTTCAATTTCTGTGCGGAAAATTGCAGTAATTTGTGAATTAATGTAATTTATTTCTTCGTTTATTATGTCACTTATCTCCTTAATAAATCTTATTCGTATAGGGCGACAATATCGAGGTGATGATGGTGTTGGGTTTTGCCCTAATATTTTCTTTTCGGGCCCATAAACTAATTAAAGTGGAACACAGAGCTTTGAAATATATTGGCATCTGAATCAGATTCATGATCAAACTTTATTTTATATTCTATCTACTGTGACCCGTCACAACCCCACTTGCTGGTTAAAATTAAGGATCGTTTTTCGTCATCACTCAAATATTCTATAACTTCTCCAAGATGTAAAATCAGTCGTGTTACCGTGTGATCCATCAACTTTTGCACACTTACTTCAGCACATGTCTCTGTTACAAGGTGAATTTCCGGATAGCATTCGTTTTTTAGTTTTTGGAAAACAGAGTAGCACGGAAACAAGCATTTGTTTGTTTCTCGTATTCTCTCATATTGGGCTTTAGTAAGTCCCGCTTCTGTATACATGTTGTTCACTACTTTTTTTTAAAGCTGTTGCATATTTTTTTGCTCTTTGGGGACTTGTCCTTAGATCTTTCAAGATTTTTGATGCATGGACTTTGCCAGACTCCCGAAATTCTTCCACGTCTTTTGATCGAAGGTCTTCGGTTTTCCTCTCTTACTTCTTTCACTTGAGTCTAAAAATGATTTGATAGGACGACCGGGACTGACTCCTGTAACAAAAACAAGAAATATTTCTCAAAACTTGTAAAAAAGTCTTTTCCCTACACAGAAACGCACAACATAATATGAATATTAATAATAGTAGAGTTTGCAAGCTCTAGTATAGCTTTCTACGTACCTGCACTAGGTAGCGATATAGTTCCGTTTAGCCATTCAGCATTATTTTCCTCGAATCTTGCTTTTATTTTACGTCCAGCTAACCAATTTTTTTTGAACTGGTGTTTGACTGTAGGAGAGCTTTTGCTTTATATCAGCTAACCTTGTATCATCTTCAGAATATAATTTTAACAGTTCTTGTTCCATAAATTGAAGCTTTCCATCAAATGTTGACTCATTAGAGCGCTGCATGATGGTATACAACTCATTTCGAGTCACAATTTTTAATTCAGAGGGACCCGTTAATATAATAAAAGAACTTAATACTTATCGAAAATTGTAGTTACCTACTACTAAAAAAATCGATAAAAAAAGTGGGGCGGTTTCGTGCAGCTGATTTTTTTATAATAGTCTTTAATATTAAGTACTTCATAATATACAGTATTTTTTATAGTTTAGAAATGTTTAGAAATATATTAAAACGCCTTCTAAATATTTAAAATAGTTATTTATTTATTAGTTTATTGTACTTATGTTATCGACCGCAAATAAAAAAATAGGGTGGATATAAATTAAAAAAATAGAGTTACATGAAGTACATACTTGGCTGAGTACAATACATCACAAAGATAAACTCTAAATTGTTTTGGCGTAAAATTACAAGACTTTAAAAAATCACAAAATCTACGCGCTTCGAAGAATCATAAATCACTGTAGGCGAACGGTAATTTCCGATTAACCGTGTGACGAGCTGTGTCGCGCATTTAAAGGAATTGGTGAAAATGAAACGATTCGCCAGCATTGGGACTGTGCCAATAAAAGTAACATCGAAGTTATTCAACGTTTCTTTGTCAACGAGAATCTACAAACACTGACACTTATCTTTCCATCAATTCATAAAAAGGTTTTATGCGCTGTTCAAATGAGCAGCTCTAGGAAGGAGTTACCAGATTCCATTCTAGAGGCCGCAATTTATTGTTATATAAATTTGTGCTGTATACGAGGATATATCAGTATATAACTAGACTGGTGCTATAACTTCTTTCAGAGGTAACATTTTATAACCCAAAAAATGAGACATGAAAGCCTTATATTTAATGTACTACCCCGCAAGTAGGCTTTGATTTAACTTTTGACATTTGTTACAAATTAATTATTGAATTGTCAGTGTTTTGCGTACCCATCGAAAAATGAAAGTGGAGCAAAGATACGCGATAAAATTTTGTGTTCGATTGGGTAAAACACCAACTGAAACTTTTGAAATGATTAAAGGTTCATGTCTAGATAATAGTTTATCACGATGTAGAGTGTTTGAGTGGCATAAAAAGCTTAAAGACGAGTGTGAATCAGTTGAAGATGAACCTCGTCCCGGTCGACCACAAACTGCGAGAAATGACACAAAAATTGCAGAAATTAACGACGATATAAAATGATCGCCGGATTGGCATAAAACGAATTTCTGACAATGTTAATTTGTCTTACGGTACCACTCTCGCGGCAAGATGGATTCCAAAAGTGATGACCGATGAACAAAAAGCGAATCGAGTGACAATTTGTCAGCAGAGGAAAAGGCAATTGCAACGTAACCCACAGTTTTTAAATAATGTGGTTACATGTGACGAAAGTTGGTTTTATCATTACGATCCTGAATTGAAGTCTCAAAGTATGCAATGGAAGCATAAAGGCAGCCCAAGACCGCAGAAGGCCAAAACTGCTAAAAGCGGTGGTGAAGTGATGCACCTGATTTTTTTTGATAAATTTGTCGTTATTTACGATCACATTGTACCTAGAGGACATACAGTAACAGGAGAGTACTATTCTAATGTACTTCGAGGGCCCTTAAAGGCCAAATTAAAGAAAAAAAGGCCGCTTTATCAGGACTTTGGCTGGACGCTGCATCACGACAATGCTCCGGCTCATAGATCAATGATTTGTCAACGAACAATTGAAGAATTAGGGGTTGAAATTATGGTTCATCCCCCCTACTCTCCTGACCTTGCTCCATGTGACTTCCATTTGTTTCCTGAAGTCAAAAAAGAATTGAGAGGTAGAAGATTTGAGTCGGATTTAGAGCTCAACAACGCTGTGATGGGTATACTAAACAGACTATCAAAAAATGGTTTCTCAGAAGTTTATGATAAGTGGATAAAGCGATGGAATAAGTGTATTCAACAGAATGGAGAGTACTTCGAAGGATAGTTGTTGAATTTTTTTAAATAATGTTTTGTTGTTATACTATAGCACCAGTCTCGTTATTTTCTAATACATCCTCGTATTCCTTTCTTTCAATTTTTATTAAAAATTATTGAATATACTCGTATATTTTGATTATCTGAGGAAAAATGTTGTTCCGAACACGTACGGAAAAATAACACGTACGCACTTATGAAAATAACTATTATTATCATTTTTAAGAACAATACAGCTAATTAAAAAAAAATTATATTTAATAATACTTACGATATAATTCTTTGATGTTCGATAATCAGATTTCGTAGATAATAAAATTTCTCTTTATCGGTACTTTTCTGAGAACACACAAATCCATAGTTTCGGAAGTTAACTTGAAGAATCTTCAGTTGACCAATTATAAACGTTAGTAGAGTTAAATAAACAATTTGTGTGGAGGTATTATACGTGCAACCGATAGATGCCGTCACAATATCCAATATGAATGCAGCGAAGTAATGCTCTTTATAATCAATTGGCCGCCATATGTAATATGGTAATGGTTTCAGAATTTCAGTATCGTTTATAAGTCCTAAAGTTGCTTGATTTAAAGAGTGTTTATATACGACGAGTTTAAAGAAAACAAGAGTCACACCGCACATTCCAGAAAAGAAAAATAAAGTCAAACAGAAAATCGTGTTGTATCTAACAATTGAATAATAGATTTTCAAATTTTCCTTATCTAATTTGTCTAGTTTTTCATCATATTTTACAATGTGGGTCAATATTTGAGCTATATTCTCTCTTTGGCAAATGATTACTTTTATAAACATGACCACACAGAACAATATGATTCCCAATGCGTCTATTTTTTCGACTGGCTGTATTGCATCTCTCAATCCCATAACAAGACATACTATAAAGCAGGTAAAGTATAATTGCATAAATAAAGAATACGCTTTATAGCATAAATGTCGCCGTTTGCTTAATGATCCTTTCTCAAATTTCCAGAGTCCAGTTATGACCATTAAGGTTCTAGCGACTGTAATGTGTTTCAAGCTGAAATAAAAGAATAAAGGATATGAATAAAGTTTACTGATTTGCTACTAATTCTTATTTGTGCTGATAAAACTAATAAATACTGAATGAGCTAGCGAAAATAACCAGCCTGCAATTTAAAACCACAGTATAAGTCGAGGTAGGCATACCATATTACCTTAAGAAAACTCAAAAAGTAAAAAGAGATAAGGAGAAGTTGTTGAATGTTGGAGAAGCAATATTTTATCTATGAGAGAAGCAGTTTTATGTATAAGAAAGCCCATAAAACAGTTTAAATAAGATATCAAGAAAAAATTGTGTATTTTAGAAAATATTGCGTGTCGTAATAGCTATTTATGAAACCAGTTGCGTAATGCCTAATTTTATGTGAAGAGTGAATACGGCATCCAAAACGAATGTTTAGAAGAAAGTCATATTTAATAAGAATGAGTAAAAATAATTAAAATTGGCAACACCTATGCCGTACCCTTTTAAAGTTTAAGGTCATAGATAGGGGAAGGTGGTACACATTGAAATGGGGTACACAATGAAACATTGCAATTTGCCAATTTGAATATTTGAATTTGCCGCTACAACGCCACTAGCGCTGTCGTGGATGAGTCTTATGATGTTGCATCAGCCACCCGTTAGTTGCTTTTGATATTCGGAAGAGTGCACATTTCATGACCCAATTTGTGTTTTTTGTGTCTTAAAGTAAAAAAAAAGAAGCCAATATAAAAAGGTATGTTATTTACAATTAAGCAGTTTTAGTATCCATTTATATTTGTTATGAATAATTAGGGTATGCATTTCTTAACCTATAAAATATTTTGTACAAAAATGTTCTTGTCTCAGATTTACGTCCAATTAAAAAAAAAGTGCGTAGTGGTACACATTGAAACATGTTTCATTGCGTACCACCTTGTGTCTGTCTGATCGTGGAATTTTTAGTTGTAGGCAACCATGGTAAGGAAGAAGAAGGAGCGAACAAGAGTTAAATTTACAGGAGATCAAATGACCGCAGTAGTCCAAGAGATCAAAATAAATGGGACTTCCTTACGCATTGCTGCAGATATGTTTGATGTAAATTTTGTCACATTAAGGCGTTATGTGCTAAAGGAACGAAATGACCCTAATACTAAAATGGAGCCGAATTATGCTGTTAGATCAATATTTAGCACCGAGCAGGAAAGATCTTTCTCTAAATACAGGGTGTCCCGAAATTAGACGGTCATATTTTAACAGCGTAATCTACATCCTAAAATAGGAGTAAAAGTTCATATAAACATAGGTCCGAAAACGTTTCTTTTCCGAGATACAGTGTGTTAAAAGTGAAGTCTTGATGACACATTTTTGTAAATATTTTCTAAACACTTAAAGATAACTAAATGAAATTTGGTACAAATGCTTAGCGTTTTACGCTCTATGTAATGGACTAAATCTTAGTTTTTGTTCATCTTCATAGATGGGTAAATTAGGGGGGCTTAAGGTAAAATTGCCCTAAGTTTTTTTTGTTGTCAGTTTTTAACATTTTTGACTAAAAAATTTGGAAACCCAATGTTTTTTTTTACAATAAAGCTACTCTTGCTGCATCTCGCTAGGACGCACCATTTTCAAGAGAAAAGCATTTGAACATTTCATGATAAGTTCATATTATCTTATTCGAAAGTGCAAACAAAAATTAGTAGGCCTGGAATCCAATAGCTGCTTTTCAATTTTTTGAGACGCTGTGATAAACAAAAATTGGCTGTCAATTGTGTAATTATTTGTACTTTTTTTGCGTGAAAGAAAAATACTTCTAATAAATGGAGAGATTTTCAAATAGAGAATTGGCATATATTCATTTTGTATATGGTTTGTGTAATGGAAGGGCAAAATCAGCGGTACGAGCATATCGTAGACGGTTTCCTAACCGAAGAATTTCTGACTACCGTGTATTTATTAGTACACATAGAAATTTGGTTGACCATGGTTCATTTCAACGTGATCGTGGACAAGGGAGACCACATGGGAACAACAATTTGGAACACGCCCTTAATTTATTTGAAGAGGACCCAAGAAGGAGTATTCGAACTGTTTTCACCCTTTCAGAAATACCACGAGCAATAGTAAGTAATAATTACGTTCCTTTTTCTTTATACTATTTTATAATTCTTAGTTTTTATTGATCAAACTTGCAAGTACAAGTATTAGAAATTAAAAATTTAAACAAACCGACTTCAAAAACGTGTAGATGCCATCACCACACCTTAACCAAATTTATATGGGACTACCCCTGAGGTATCCCCTTACTAACAAAAAAATAATCATATAAATCGGACAAGGTGGTAAAGCATTATCGCTAAACATACATAAAATATAGAGATGGTGTTTTTAATATTCACAATCACCATTTTTATTCACAAGAAAATCCTAGAGTGGTGCGACGTCGATTTTTTCAAGATAGATTTTCTATTAATGTTTGGGCGGCAGTAATCAATGACAGATTAATTGGGCCGATTGAAATTCCTGCTCGGTTAAATTCAATTGAGTATCTGAATTTATTACAAACTCACCTTGAACACATTCTGGATAATCTCCCACTAAATATTCGACATCAGCTGCACTTTAAGCACGACGGAGCGCCAGCCCATTATGGCGTTAATGTGAGAAATTGGCTAAATTAAAGATTTCCGGGTAGATGGATAGGAAGAGGTGTTCCCATACCGTGGCCACCTCAATCTCCGGATTTAAACCCATTAGATTATTACTTTTGGGGTCGTATAAAAGATATGGTATACGCTACAGAAGTTGACAGTGAGGAAGAGTTGCGTGAAAGGATACGTTTGGCAGGGAATGAAATACGGCAAAATAATTTTGAAGTAATGCGAGCTTCACATGCAATTACCCGTAGAGCCGAAATGTGCCTTACTTTAACTGTTGTATAAATTGATATTTTTAGTAGAATTTTTGTTATTTTTAGTAGAATTTTTAGTAGTATAGACAAAAACAATTTTTGAGAATCATTTGTTTATCGTCGTCATTTTAACCTATTTTAAGTCATCCTTAGAAAAATAAAAGTAGATACTTCACGTTAAAAAACTTAAAATTATTATCAAATAGCATTTGCAATAATTAAAAGTAGGTAACTAATGATTTCTTCTCTAATTCAGTCAAACTTCATATTTTCAAGAAATTACCAGCTATTCTTAATTTCAAATACAGTTTTGCTATAATTTTACGATATTTAACGTATCTGATTTTTACCATCCTAAGGATTACCATAAAAGAGTTTAAACGTCGGCAGTTAAAGAAATAAATTCTCATCAATCATTTTATTGGGCAAAAGTCAACCAAACCATTAAAAAAAACAATTGATTAGTTTAAGTTTAAATACTATTTAGTTTTACCATTTAAAGTTTCTTTATAAAATAAACATTAATACTAAATAAATTTCTTTAGTCACCGATTTTCCAAACCTGAAAAAAAAATTCTGATTCCACAGGCCTGCTAATTATTGTTTGCACTTTCGAATAAAATAATATGAACTCATCATAAAATTTTCTAATGCTTTTTTCTTGAAAATGGTGCGTCCTAGCGAGATGAAGCAAGAGTAGCTTTATTGTATAGAAAACATTGGGTTTCCAAATTTTTTAGTCAAAAATGTTAAAAACTGACAACAAAAAAACTTAGGGCAATTTTACCTTAAGCCCCCCCTAATTTACCCATCTATGAAGATAATCAAAAACTAAGATTTAGTCCATTACATAGAGAATAAAAAGGTAAGCATTTGTACCAAATTTAATTTAGTTATCTTTAAGCGTTTAGAAAATATTTACAAAAATGTGTCATCAGGACTTCACTTTTAACACCCTGTATCTCGGAAAAGAAACATTTTCGGACCTATGTTTATATGAACTTTTACTCCTATTTTAGGATGTAGATTACGTTGTTAAAATATTACCGTCTAATTTCGGGACACCCTGTATATAAAGACCTGTAACAAAATGGCATTTGGGTTAAATACTCAAAAAGTGAGAGAGGTGGCATATGAAATGGCGCTCAGAAACAATATTAATATGCCAGATTCCTGGAGAAGGAATAAGTGTGCGAGTAAGGATTGGCTAAGAGCTTTTATTAAAAGGAATGCGTCTTTAAGTATTAGAAATCCAGAAGCTTGCTCTTTATCCAGGCTTACTTCTTTCACACAACCTAATGTCGAAAGATTTTTCCTACAGCTTGAGAAAATATATGGAGATAACCCAGCAATTGTTCAGAAAATTCAAATTTATAATTTGGATGAAACTGCTACTACGACTGTACAGCGTCCTCATAAAGTAGTTACACAAAAAGGGGTGAAACAGTTGAATCAGTGCACAAGTGCCGAAAGAGGATTACTAGCCACTACTTGTGCTATATTAGAGCAGACGGAACTTTTCTACCGCCGATAATTATTTTTCCCCGAAAGAAGTTTGTCCCTCATATGTTAAATGGCGCGCCTCCAGGCACATTAGGACTAGCAAATCCAAGTGCGTGGATGACCGCTGAACTGTTTGTTGAGGTGTTAAACCACTTTATTAAACATAATGGTATGACAAGAGAAAGGCCATGCCTATTAATATACAGGGTGTCTGTAAAAGGTCTTTACAAAAACATACCACATATTCCTTAAACCAAAATAAGTCTATTTAAGTAAAATTACCTTGGTACAAAGTTGCTTCGTTTGGGCTCCAGAGGGCCTTGAAGTTACAATTTTTAAATCGTTTTTCCCATATAAATTTAAAACGGCATATGGGATTTTGCTGAAATTTGGTATATTGGTAGAGTTTTTTGTGGAAAAAAAATGGTATTAAAATTGTGTCCGATAATAATACATAGGCGTAGAACTTGATTTTTTAAATAATTGCACCTTTAAAAATTCTACGCCAATGGAAGAAAAGCAGTTTGAGTATGAAATTTAGATTGCGCAACTCATTTACTTTAAAAAAGTTACTCTTGATAAGACTCGATTACTCTCATGGTTTTGACGAAATTTACATTTTAGTAATTTTAGAACATAAACAATAATTATTAAAATACAAACTTTGTCAAAACCATGAGAGTAAATCGAA